GTTTCAGTAGCTTTTGAAAGAGCAACTGCATTAAAAGCAAAACCAAATCTACATAAGGCGGTAGGCAAATGGTAATTCGATCTTGATCATAGAATGATGTGTAATTTTTTTTACTTATATTGAAGAAATAAATGTAATGGTAAAAAAAAAAGATTGATTTACTAAAAATCACACATCACACTTCCCCTAGGACATGGAACAAGTATATAAATCCTGCTAGAAACGATGATCTGATGCTAAGTCATTGGACAAAAGAGAATACAGAAGAAGGTATTTGAATCAATGAAAGGTTTTAACCGACGGAATTCTTATGTTAATTGTTATTTCATTTAATTTGATAAAGAAACAATTAGTTTTGCAGACTTTAATAAAAAAGTTGAAATCGAAGAGTATACAGATGAAGAATATGAAAAGTATTTGAAAGGTACGACAAGTTTTCAAAATTTTTTTTTTTTCTTCTTGTTATTTTTTTAAATGAAAATTTTTAATTTTCGACTATTATCATTGATAATAGATCGGGATTGGAGTAGAGAAGAAACTGACTATCTATTTGATTTATGTCGAAAGTATGATATCAGATGGACCGTAATTCATGATCGTTACGATTGGAAAGATAAGGACAGAACGATGGAGGTAACGGAGCCTTTTTATGTGATTACACTCATTATCATGCTCATGCTCATATGGTCTTGTTATTTTAGGATTTGCGAGATCGATATTACTCTGTCATTAAAAAAATTTTGCAAGTACGACCAATAACGCCTGGTAGTCAAACTGACAAGGGTCAACAGATTGCATTAAATAGTTATGATAAAGGTATGTCGTAAAATCATATCATATCGTCAAATCCTTTTGCTCGTTCATTAAATGAAATTACCCTCTTTTTTAGTTAAAGAGGAAAAAAGGAAAAATATGTTGCTTCTTTTATATTCACGGACAAAAGAACAAATTGAAGAAGAAGAAGCATTACAAGAAATAAGTGATCGTATTCAAGCAAATGAAAAGAAATTCATCAGGGAAAGGGAGGCCTTAATGAAACAATTTACGGTGGAAGCGCTTCAACCAAAGCGCAAGAAATCGCTGCTTAGCGGACCCACAACTCCTACAATAGAGGCGAGTGGTTCGGGCTTTCATAATACCTCTGATTTACCCAAAAAAAATCGTCGTACATCGGCATCATCTGTTGGTTCGATTGCGATTGAAGGTAATATTTATTAATGATATATTTTTATTTTATTTTATTTTATTTTATTGATTTATTTATTTTTGTCATTCATCCTTTATCTCTATACAAATGAAACCTTTTGATTCGCGTGAAAATAGCTCATTCACCAAAAGAAGTTCATACTCCAATGGTGGTAAAGAAGGAAAAACTCACTCCGGGTGTTTTGGTACGAAGTCAAAAGATACCTATACCAAAACTAGCCTTATTACACAAAGTCCACAAGTCTTTACAAGAATTTGGTTTGGGACCACGCCCAACTATGCCAACAGAAACTGTTTGTGCAAAGTTTACCGAATTACAGAAAATGACTCAAAACCTGTTAGATCTTAAAAAGCTAGTTGATAAGCAAGAGCACGACTTAAAAGTCAAACGGACGACGCTTCAAAAGGTTTTATCGGCTTCAGGGGGGGAAAAGGCAGGAAATATTGCCCAAGAAGGAGCTTCGACTGACGGATACATTGACTCGAGTACCATTCCAGTAAGTTAAAGAGGAAATTATCTAACGTGACTTATTTACTTGCTGAATTTTTATCATCATCATTATAAATCAGACGAAGAGAGATAGAGGATCGCTTCCTGCTACACCTCGAGATGTCAAACGAGCGCGAAAGTGAATATGATTTCTATTTATTCATTCATCTATTTTATTGTTTTGAAGACTAATACAGTTAATTTATCTTTCTGTTACATTTATATTAGTTGAATCTATTGAAAGATACACGATTAATTCTATATAAGTAGTATCATATGAGAGAAAGAATATATTATTTGGAAACTTTAATTAGATTAATGTAATTTCTATGAAATTAAAAACTTTTTGTAAAATTAACAATTATTTTCCTCTCATGGGTATTACGATAATTTTATCGGCGAATTCCCCCCAAGCAATTCTTTGGTTCACAAAAATTCCATACCAAGTTGACAGTGCGATAAACCAAAACAGAGCACCTGCCATTGAATAATATAGATCTAAAGAAATAATTTTAATTAAAAAAATATATATATATATATAAAATAAAATAAAAATATAAAAAAAAGGAAATTGAAAAACTTACACTTTTTTATTTCTTTACCGATATCTGACCGTTTGGTTAAGGGCCACATGTAAATTACATTAACAACCCATAACCAAGGTAAGAATAAAAAACCTATATAAAAAAATTTTTTACACAAGGATAATATTTCGGAAGGAGTCGTTTTTGAGGGATTTGGAGGCATGTTTGAATTTTTTTTTATTCGAAAGAAAACCGTAACGTATAAACCTTCAACTTACTCATGTAACACGAATTATTTACGTCAACCAATTAAAAACTGCTGTATCAAGTTATTACCCGTAAAAAGTTACCAATGTCTGCGATAAATTTCTTGCGAAAATGAACAAACTTTATATTGGTAATCCTTCTTATGGGAGCAATTGTATATTTAAGTAGAATTGAAACTTTTTCGGCGGCACATCGATTGCACTCTTCGTCTTTATCAGACAAGGAAAATAAAGAAATATTTGGAAAATGTAATAATCCTAACGGTCATGGACACAATTACAAAGGTTCGCACGCAATTCGGTTATGAATTGAATCAATTCCACCATTAGAGCTGTTATTAATTTATGAAAACGATTAGTTGAGGTAACGGTGAAAGGAGAGATTAATCCAATAACAGGTATGGTTATGAATCTAATGGATTTAAAAGAATGCATAAAGATAGCAGTCATGGATGTTTTGGATCATAAGAATCTGGTAAAGATACAAAGGACGTCTCATTTATTCATTACTTCATTTGATAAATAATTAATCTAATTTATTCTGCATTATAGGATCTTGATGTACCATATTTTAAAGATAAGCCTAGGTAAGAATTAGATTCTTATCGAAAAAAAAAAATTTTTCAATGATGTATTTTTTCATATAAACTGCGTTATCTAGCAGAAACGATGATGTAGAAAATTTTCAAAGTATCTGAGATATATTTGTATAAGAATGTTTTAATTCGTCTTTATCTTTAATTTTTAATTAACGATAATTTTTTTTCTTTATAGCACATCGGAAAATTTAGTTGTTTTCATTTGGCATAATATCCGTCAAGTCTTAAAAGATGGTGAATTATATGAAGTGAAATTATATGAAACTGAAAAAAATTTGGTGGTTTATAGGGGTGAAAATTTAGATTTATCAATTAATTAAAAAAAATAATCTAATATTTTAATTTCAATTAATTATAAATAATATATGTACGTTTACATAGATTTATATAGATGTATAACCAATAATAACCAATAAAATTAATTTTATAAATGGTTAAGAAGTAAAGAATTTTTACTGCGGCTATTCTTGTTACTTATTTTGGAGTCACATGGTTTAAAAATTGGTAAATTTTGCATTATTCAATAAAATTTTAATAAAATTTTCTCTATTATAGAACGTGGTTTCGTGGTGTAATGGTTAGCACCCAGGACTTTGAATCCTGTAATCCGAGTTCGATTCTCGGCGAGACCTGTTTAATTTTGAATTTTTTTGAATTCAACAAAAAAGGAGTTAGGCTAAGCTAAATTTAGGATAAATACTACTGAATAAATGTTGAACAAATTTGCTTGTGTAAAAAATTTAGAAAAAACCTACGAATTTTTAAATTCTCAACCTTTTGAAACAAATGCATTTCTTGTTAATATTGTTTATAAAAAATTTTTTGGATTATATTTGGCTCAAACATGAATATAAACTTGTTTTTTTTTTTTTATAATGGAGTGAACTTGCGATGAATAAATCGGACGATCTGAAAAAAAAATAGGGGTGTGTTTAATTTCAAATTTCGGGATAGAATTGATTATTAATCAATTTCGGTTGGTCAATTAATTACTTTTTTTAAATTTTTTAAAAAAAAATAACTATAAATGAAAAGCATAAATTTAATTTCATAATCATAAACTCATTTTATAAATGTATGTAAAAATTAGTTCTTATATTTCTTATCTTTATTATTAAACATATATATAAACTTAATATTCTTTTTAGATGGTATTTAATATCTATTTTTTTTTTTATTAACCTTTTTTATAATATCAAAATTTTTCTATAATTAAAATCTCACTAGCATTTCTTTGACAATTTATATAATTATAATATATTTGAAAAGTTAAGATTAATCTTTTTTTTTATAATTAATAAAGTTATTAAATAAAGTTACTAATTTACCCGAATTTTAGATTGCATATATAAATTCACGTGTTTCCGAAGAAACGATGTAGCACAAGATTTAATACCTCATAATTGGATGTACGCGACTTTCTCTTCTCATATAGTATCTTCATTACGCTAATCGAGTTATTAAGTAGTAACCACCAGTTAAGTAATTTTATGCTTTTATGGAATTAAATTTTGCATACACAATATCCTACGGCACATATGGCCATAATCGTGTGGGTTATCCACTAGTACAGTCCCATATTGTCGATGCTTGGGGGAGATTGTCATATACGCCCATTAGGAGGTCATCCCTACCTAGTGCCCTAGTGTGCTGATCTCTTTCCAGTATATTGGATTTAATAGGTTGACTACGGCACATATGGCCATAATCGTGTGGATTATCCACTAGTACAGTCCCATATGGTCGATGCTTGGGGGAGATTGTCATATACGCCCATTAGGAGGTCATCCCTACCTAGTGCCCTAGTGTGCTGATCTTTTCCCAGAGACCTATTTTATCAATGCAACTTATACACTTACCCCAATTTATATTATTGAATATTGTTACTAATATATTTGATTATTGTTTTCCAGGAATGGATTTATCAGAAGGAATCTCGCTTTTTTTCGAACAAACTCCATTTAAAAACTGGTTTCCCACCAAATGCCTAGAATATTTGGAAAATAAATCCTTAGATTTTAGAACGTCTGACAAAGAATTAGTTCAAACCGAATTCAAGAGTCATGTCCATTCATTAATGAATCATAAAGCAGTAACGAAATCTGCACAAAAAAAGGCTAAAAGACTTTTGGATGAAGCGGATCTAACGTTTGAATCCGAAGAAGTTATAGCGATTTTTAAAAGAATGGACACAAAGGTAAATTACTTTTATTAGTGATTACTCCTTTTCATTATCTAACATAAATCCGTTGATTTTACAGGCGATTGAAAAAACGTAAAAGGCAGTTATTATTTGTAAAAAAATCACTGTTCGATACGGAAGTTCAGCTTACTGTTGAAGACCACAAAATACATACTGCATCATCTTCGGTAATTAACTGAATTCATTATGCATTGCATTTGATATTATCTATAAATTTGATTTTAACACATATACAGAAATTACATACTTTAGGAACAGAAATCCCAGGTAAAGCTTCCAAACGGAAACGTGAAATAGATGATCAAATTGTAGTGGTAAGTACGCGTATTCTTCTTGTAAATGCATCTTTTTTGATATATCTATTATTTATAATTTTGTTCCTAATGAACCGCAATTTTAATTCTTAGGATGGTGATGAAAATCGGGCCAAGAAAACCGGAAGTGGAAGGGATATTCCAAGCTATCGTGAATTTTTAGGCAAAACATCAGTTTCGGATATAATAGTCAAAGGGAATGAAGAAGAAAATGTTATTCAATATAATGAGGTTAGTAATAGTTTAGTGATACATTTCAAACAAACGCGTTATAACTCTACTATTTTTTCGAAAAAAAAAGCAACAGCCTGAAAATGTGTACGATATAGAATCGAAATGCAGAAGCCAACTTCACAGTCAGATAACGATTCCGGCGATCATGAAGAGTATCAAGATTATGAAAAAAATGTATCCGATTATGAAGAGTGCTTCGAAGAAGAAATTCCATCTAACATGGTTGGTATAATAACATCCGTGTTACTTATGTCATTTAATGCTCACCTAATATCATCATTTCTATCTTAGGCTTCAGCTGATACCATTGGAAGTTGGATTTTGTCGAGTGGTAAGGATGTTGGCGAAGAATTATCCAAATACCGTGAATATATTCCTCGCACAAAGGCATATCTTTAGTAAGTTACACTTGATTTGTAAGCATAAACATATTTTCCAGTGCTGACTTCCCGACTTTGATATTGTTATTTACAGTCCGGTTTATTTCGGAATATTGGATCTTTCCGGTGAGGATACAGAAGTAAAGAATTTGTTTACAAATGACGAATGGAATGAGATGATCAAGGATTTTAATAATAATGTAAAATTAAGTGATATGGAAGATGAACAAGAGAGGCCCTTTTATGAGCTAATGGACAAAATTTCTGAGGTTAGCAAATTTGTAGTATTTACCTTTCATTTAATGTATCGACTAATTAAACTATTCTCTGTTCCTTACGTTAGGTATTGATGAAGAAACCTACTGATCTAATTACTGGCATTGAAAGCTGTGTGATTGAAGTACGTATATTACTTTATATCACTTGTATTAGTTTCTTATGGAAGCGCAGGTCTAATTATTGTCATTTATAGGACAATATAAAAGTAAATACAATCAGAAGACTTATTCAGACATAGTAAATGTTATTTTTTGCCTATTTATAGTATTAGGATCTGATAGTCATAATATTTAACAATTTTAAATTAAATAGTACATACAATCTTCAACGCTTGCAATTGCCAATGTCTGAAGTTGCCTTTGGAAGTAATTTCACTAACGCAATTACAAAAGGAATATTGACCTTTGATCGAATCTATCATTATGAAGAGTAGGTTTTTGATATTTATTGTTTATGTATTTTCCAGTTTCGTTATTTACTATTATTGTAATACGCAGAGGTGAGATCCAAGGACTTGCTTTATCAGTAATTACCAACATGAAATCCAGGCCTACCGATAGAAGCTTAATTGGTCAGAAAGTAGACTTTAGAGTTAGCAAAGATCAATTTGAAATGTTGATTGGATTAAGATCTGGTGGCCTTCCCGCATCACCGAAAAGCAAAAAATGGATGGATAAGGTGGATCTATCAGTCGCGTTACGGGACGTGTTGATAAACGAAGGAATAGAAAATAATGGCGTAAAACCAGAAAAATTTCGCAAACTTTTTACTCTAGGGATACACACATTCAGTAAGTTAAATATTCTTAATTTTTTTCGGTATGTTCTTAATATTTAACCCAACCTAATTGATTTCAGATTATAATTATAACATATACGGATTGGATTGGAAAACAAGAGGTGTTTGGCGTCTAGGTTTGCTTCAAAAGGTTAAGCTACCTTTGTCAATTGATAATTTGCACATTATAGAAAAACTTATTATATCTTTGATGCGTATTGAGGTAAAGTATCGTTATTACTCAGTAATTACATTTTTATGTTTGTAAATCTCTAATTGTCCTTCGTTTTTGTATAAAAAACTTTGCATTGTATACGAAAAATTCGTAATGAAATATTAACCGAAAAGGCAAAATTATATCGTTTCCGACGAACATCAACATATGTCATGGATTATTTAATTTGTGAATACGGTCGCATAACTCGCACAAGAAAGGCCAAAGAACAAGTTTGATTTATGAATTTTGTCATGAAATTTATTTTCTTTAAAACACCATTCAATGGCTTTTAGATGTATATAAAGATTTAATAATACACGTGTGTAACAAATAAAATCCATTTACGTGACAATGAAATATGATATTCGGGGTATACAATCCCAACCTTGTGAGAGAATCATCTACTGGATACCTTTTTCGTGTATTGATATACAATTCAAATGAGATCTCTGCTTCCTCTATTGCAAGATATGTTATTTTTGACTTGCATATATAGGTGAACTGGCCACTAATAAAATAATGTGACATCCTATTGATATTGGTCACCGAAAATGTCCCCTAATTTTAACTCTATTGCTACAAGAATTTCAAATTGATGTATCTTAGCCAATATCGCCTCAAATTTTACAAAATTATAACCATTAGAATCGCCTTATTCAGGCGAATCTTATAAGCTATTAATTTTATAGATAAATTAAATGATGTTTCAACAACTATATTTTTGTAAATATTAAAAGAATTAATTTTAAATAATAGTATTTAATTCATATGAATAATATGAATTTAAAAAACCAAAATTTTTCAATTTTCAATCACTAGATCTCAAGATAATGTACTTTAAAGTGTTACTAAAAAATTTTTTATATGTAAAAAAATTTTTAATTTAATTTTTATTAACATTTACTTATATGTAAACATATAAATCTAATAATTATAATTTCTCAATATTTTAATGTTAAAATAAATAGATATACTTATATTCAAAAATTAGTATTTTAAGTATTATTTTTAGCAATAGTTTTAAAAAATCTTAGATTTGAATTTCCGAAGCAATATTTTATACTAAAATAATTTTTAACAGTTACTCCTAATAAACGTCAAAATCGGTATTCTAAATTTACTTTTTCTTATTAATTAAAGTTGTAGAGCTAAATAATTTACATCTAACTGTTAATTATTCAAGTTTTATAATACGTTTTGGTAGAAATATTGCAAAAATACTAAAATGTCAAGAAAATTTTCGTGTTACATAATTCTATTGCTGTTAATTAGAGATCGTCATGATGCATTTCATCAATTTTTATATGAAAATATCGTAAACATTACTTTTACTTCTATGCTAACATTATATTCTCACAATATAACTTCTTATAATTTTAATATATTATATATTTCAAGTTCTATTCTATTTAAAATTTTATCTATTTTTACAATAATAACAATAGCTTTAAAGAATCTTCAAGTAGAAGTAAAAAAGTGAGATAATTTTTTGTGTAACATAGCGATAGTAATGCTAAATTTGATATCGTTATAATTTTGTCATTCTTGACTAAAATGGTATTGGTATTAAATAAATTAAATATTTATCATCTTTATAATTGATTAACGTTAACGTTAATGTATTTCTAAATAAATAAAAATTTATAAATTTAATGAATAAAACAAATTATCTCAAATAAAATTAATCCAATTTTCATGAAATAACCACCATCAGATGAATAATAATATATTTCTAATTTATAAAATTTAGGGGTTGTCTAAAGCCGTGTTCGATCACGTAATCAGCAGATCAGTGGTGTCACATCAGAAGATCGGCTGTGATCCAGATAAGTCACGTGGTCACGTGAATAAAATTTTCAATAATAACAAAAAACAGCCGTATAATAAACTCTTTGCTTTCTAAGCCACAACGATCTTTTTTTAACAGTGACGAAGGGTTCTATACTAGTTCTATACTGTTAGACTCTACTTTTTGCTGCTAGAGTTTGAGGAGAGAAGCTTTTGTTTTTGTTTGTTTTTTTTCCAATCTGCAAAGGGTTTAAATTTGAAGAATTTTTTCCTTAAAGGTTTGAGGTTTTTTGTTGGTGGTGTATTTGTTCTCTCAGCCTTTTCTTGTTCTTTACTACTTTTTTTTTGAAGAGAGAAGTTTGAAAGTCATTTTTCTTTGAAGTCCTCTTTACCGATGGTTAATTTGCTCCTTATATGCCTTTTCTTTAGAGTTTTTTTTTCTCCAAAGGTTTTTTTTCTTCAGGAGTTTTTTTTCTCCAAAAATTCTTTCTCTGATTTCTTTGAAGTTTCTTTACCATAGATGATTTTACTGGTAATGTCTCAGCAGATGATTTGTTACCAAAGGTAACTGGAATCGATTTTTTGACTACCTGTTCTGAGAGGGTTACAGATTTAACGCTAGTCATGAAAAGATCCTCTTTACAGTAAGTCAAGTCCGAAGTAACTGAGGATGAGTCTTTGGTAATCATCTTATGCTGAACCTTCTTTTCTCGCTTCCTCTCTCTAATTTTGTCACTAATACTTTTCTTATTTACCTTAACCAAGAAAGCATCCATCTTCATTTCCTTTGATGTTTTAGTGTCAACATTATTTTGCTAGTCTATTATAATGTCAGATAAATCAATATTTGATACCGTTACCTCTGGTAGTATCTCTATAATCGCTTTCTTATCATTCTGTGATTGTTCACTTATCACCAAGGAACTCTGTTCCAATATCATGAGTCTAGCCTCAAGTTCCCTATTTTTTTGCTCTAGTTCTTCAACTCTAACATCACGCCTGACATTCTCCTCAATAATCTGCCTCAGTTTTACGATTTCAGCCTCAAACTCATAATTCTTAGCCACAAGTCTGGCATTTTCTTGCCTAAGTAAGTCAATCTCGAATTCCATTTTTAATTATACAAGTATTCAAAATAAAAAAGTCATTGTGTCCATTCCAATTTGGAACGCAGATCACTTTTGCTGAGAAAAAATGGTTTATTAATAGACGCAAACAACAAATATAGCGTTCAGGATGTAGCCTGTAATACATGTTATAATTTCATTTTATAAAGTGAAATGTTTCTATACTAATGGTCACTGAAAATGTCTTTTAATTTTAACTCTATTGCTACAAGAATTTTAAATTGATGTATCTCAGCCAATATCGCCTCAAATTTTATAAAATTATAACCATTAGAATCGCCTTATTTAGGCGAATCTTATA